CTTCCTCTATTTGGTTGCAAAAATAGGATTTCAAATGTAAAAATCTTAGGGATATCCACACACATAGAAACCAAAGGCACTATGCTATGCCACTGTAAGGATGGTTGTGTGGTCACTGACTAACGTTTCTATGCAATGACAGCTATCAAGATAAACATCATATGCTTTGACTCATATAATTTAAGTATTCTTACAACATTTCTATTTGAGAACTTCCTCTCCAAACAGAAAAATTTTTAAACTAATGGCTGCATTGATGGCCTGCTCCAATTTTCCAAGATTTCTTAGAATCCATAAGCTTGCCTTGCTGTTTTATTTATATCAATTCCACAGATATTTAATTAATTTAATCTTCAAGAAGTGAATGATATATGTAATAGACATTTATGGTAAGTGCATAACAAACACCAGAACTTCATGCTGTTTTACTCCTTTTGTTAGGTTCTTAAAATGTTCTTCCCTTAAATTTTATAATCAAATTTAAAGATTTTTTGGTGATCTGCTTCCAAACGATAACATTGATACTGAAGATTATTTCAGCAGACAATACTGCTGTCTTCTGTGTGATTCTACTATAAAAAGAATATATTGTTTGTCCTCTCTAAATTTCTGTCCTTAACCCCTCTTCCTGATAATTTTTACCTATATTTTTTCCATCGTGAAAAAAAAAAAAGAAAAGACATTCTAATTTCATCTGTGTTTTATCTCTATTTCCTTTTCTTGTATTCTCAACTTTGTACAATTTTGCTCCTCTTCCAGAGATACAATTATGACCAGGGCTAACTAATTATATTAGTACAGAGAACAAGATGGAAGGGATTAGGAAAAAAAAAATGAGTAAATTCTAAAATCTGTATGATGTGAAGTCAGGTTTCTTTGTTGTTGTTGGTTTTATCTTCAGGTATTCCCATCGCCTATGACTTCAGACAAACCCTAGCCTGGCTATCCCTGAGCATAGGATCAAGTGGTAGGTTAGGAATGTCTTCAGTATCCTACTCATCCTGTGTCCTACCAGACACCAATGCTCTGATGTTCACTGGATAGTGGAGAAGGTATTGGAAAATTTTGTTTAGCTTTTAAAAATTAATGTATTTTATTAAAGTATTTAAAATTATCAACCATACAAAATGAAATACATTGTCTTGAAAAGAAGTCTAGTGTCATCATTGTTGTCCATTTAATTATCTAATGAGCAGAGACCACACCTGTGATGTTACCAAACAAGGTAGCTGGATGAGATAAAGGTTCTTCATAAAAGCATTTTAAGATCAACATAATCCACTGATGAGCACTGGAATTTCCATTTGCTGCCTCTTTTTTTTTTTTAATGGTCATTATAAGTAAGAGGGAAAAATCTACTAAAGTAAATAAATCTTCTTATATCCTCTACAAAAAAAAAAAATTCTTCCTACACAAATAATTGAACAGAAAGGTATTTCAAAAGCTGCAAGTTGAACCAATGAATAAATAAAAGGCTAACAACAGTATTACCAAAACATTCAAATAACTCTGCATAAACTCCAGTATTCCATGTTCTAGAAAGACTAATAATAATGATTATTTTAAAAAATATACAGCTTTCATACTTCAGAAGACATTTTAAACTTGTTTGCCATCAGCTGTTCTTTAAGCCTCTTGCAGTTACTAGCTGTTACTAGTGTTGCTTATTACTTATACAGAAAAACACTAACTTGCCCCAAGGGAAAACTGTTCTTTTCCTATGACTAAATAAAAACTGAACCAAAAAATTGCCTTCTAGAATTCAGCATTTTGAATGCACAGCCAGTAGCAAGCACTTTCCCTTTCTTGGTGCCATCTCTCCATCTCTCTCTCTCTCTGTCTCTCTGTCTCTCACACACACACACACACACACACACACACACACACACAGGACTCTGAATAGGCACTTGTTAGGGAGGTGATTTAAGGGCAATGGGATGAAAAACTGGTACAGCAGCACCACCTAGTGGGCATGGTGCAGAGGCTCAGAGTCCCCCTTGCGGCTGCTTCATTGGTCAATGCTTGCTTTGGGAACCACTTACAAAGACTTGTGCGTAAGTTTACCACAATTTTTTAAGAGGAAACCATAAAAAGGCAGAAGCCTTTTGTGATCAGACTTGTGTGATCAAACTCTCCAGCCACAGTAATTTTAAGTCATAAGCAGAATAATAAGTAACAATTTGCTGCCTTTTATTCCATGTTTACTCAAAATTACTGTGTGTGTGTGCATGTGTACACACACCCCCCACTTGATTACAATTCAAGGTTGTTCAATTTTTATAAGAACAAGTAATGTTAAAATAATCAAATTATATAATAATTATACAGTAGTAAATACACACCTGTTGCTGAGTTTCTTATTTGCAAATAAATTCAATTTGCCAAAAAAATTCTGATTACTTTTAAAAACAATTAAGAATTTCTGTTCTCTCACAGCCTCCAACTTATTTCTTTCAACTAAGATATTCTGTCTGAAAATGACAAAAGTTAAAATATCCTCTTTATATGTATGTCTTCCCTATAGACCAGTGAGTGGGTCTTCAAATGGAAATGAGATTGTCTCCCAAAAATTATCTGGCATTGTCTGTTCGGTCAGGGATGCTGCAATCTACAATGCACATGACAGTCACCCAGAACAAAAAATTGTCTAAAAGGTCAATAGAGCCTAAGTTGAGAACATCCACCTAGACTATAAGATGCTAAAAGACAGGAACAATGTCTTATTTAAAAATGTATACTAAGTACTGGCAAGGTAAGGTAATAATGGTTTGGTGAAATAAACTGATAGTTACATCTAACGTTGGCCATGTACCAATAGATTACTTAAACTTTAACACAATATTAATGTCAGGAAAGCATACTCTTGACTGTACATACAGGGCAGAGCATCCCACACCACAGTCTGATCACTAAATGAGAAAGACTGATCACAGGCGCTATCTGATGGGAGATTCACCACAGTGATGGTGCTTTCTTGACAATTCTTGGTAAAAAAGTCATCTAAACTTTTGGTTGTTGCCCACTTTCAAACTGTAACAGAATTTTTGAGGTTTTTTTTCCCCCCAAAATGAAGTCTCTCTTTGTATTTTCCCACTTAACCACTGTGAGCATTTTGATAAGTACCACTTGATAAATACCAAGAAACTCACCATGCATATAAAACTATTAAAAACAGAAACAAATCTGATCTATAGCCTGCTAATTTCACCCAAATATGTGAATAAACAGATCTACACTGCCATTAGAAGTAGACTTTGGGTGATCTTAAATTCAGTAAAAACATATGCTTTTGAAGGTATCAATTGTTTAAAGAACGTGTGATATATACAATCAAGATGAGGCATAGCACCAAGAAGAAAACAGTAAGCTTTGCCACTTCAGATGTCAAATTTCTAAATATAACTTTCTGAATGGCATGGAAACAATCTCATGTTGTCCTTCCTGCTGTTTCCTTAAAACCCCTTCGGGACTGGTATAACAATAAATCAGCATTCACATACTAGATTAGCCAGGATATAGCTCCTTAAAGGAAAGCATCAAGACCATTAAACTGGTAACAGAAGTCATCTTTCAGGATAGAGAACCAAAGATATTGTTAAATGTACTGTTGGGATTTTTGCAAATACATATTACTTGTAAACTAGAAAAAAATTAAGATATAAGGCATTTGTTTATATTTGTCATACTAAACATTAAATTCTTCAACATGCGCAGAACTCAACATTTTTAAAATATCCTACCTCATAGTCTTAATTCTGGCAAACATTTTTTGTTTGATTCTCATTGGTATGTGTTTGTGTTTTTTTAACTGGTGACCAAGATGCAAGATTTCAAACTTTCCTATGGAAGTCCAGGAGCTGAAGAACTTTTTGCTCTCTTCTGAATCATTGTAAGCTTTAAAGCCATTTAAATGACCCATTCCATTCACAAAACTTCCATTACCACATCCTGAGCACCCTGGTGCTACCACTCAAACCTGCCAATGACAATCATCAGGTCTGTAAAGGACCACATATTTTCTAGTAATGTGAAATTCTTGATGCACCTATAATGGAAAACAACAGTGTATACTTTTCCGTCTCTGAGAATAAAAGACTGTAGATTCTAGGTGCCTGTGACAGAGGTCCAGAGACAATATGCCCAGCTCCCTGATGGCGAAGAGACTGGTAGAAAGTTACAGCTACAGTGCCCCAAATATTCTATAGTGGAAAGACCTCAAGTTAAAAATAACAAGTACTGAAGAAATTTTAGGGAATGAAGTCCGCATGTAAAACACACTCCAGTATTTTAAAATCATGCAATGTAATGTTAGAGAAAATTATTATTTAAATATGAAATCTAAGGGCCTAGACTAATGCTTTCTTGGCTCACACTTTAACAGAACTCCAGTTGAAGAATGAAAGGCCTATCCTTGGAATGAAAAATATTCCTAACAAAGAGAAGCATTAGGAAGATTTTTATGAAAGTTTCTAAACCAGTCAGAAGATAATCAGCCAAAGAGTTTGGCAAATTAAATGACCTATATCTATTCGTAAATGAAAAAAAATTCCTTGGTAATAATAAAAGTTTTTCTATTTATCTACAAATCTTAGTTAAGAAATGATGGAATCAGGTTAGGTGAATCTGCTAAGTCAAGAACAACCAAAGAGAGGCCAGAGAGAAAAACTAAACAATTTAAATACAGACAGGTCAGGTATATTACTAACAAACCTCACCAGACGACCTATGCTTTGAATTCTCACACTATCCAGAAAAAGTAGTATTCCTTTGCCTCATTTCAAACAGGACTGAGGAAGGTTATATCATACCTACAATATAACAGGAAAAGAATATGTACAGATAAGTACATTTAGGCTAAAGGAAGAAAAAAGGTAGAATAATGAAATGACGCTAAGAGAAAAATTATCTTGAGAATGTGACATTAAAAGAAATATTCAGAACTTGAAATTAACACTAACTTATGAGGTTTAAAAAAAAAAAAAAGAAGCTTTGCCACTCACCAATTTTAACCTCTGTAAAGGGATTCTGCCTACATCTATCTGTGTCCTTTCTGGGACATTAGTGAATCGAACTTCTGGGACTGCAACAGCACACATGACATGGGCCCACCTACAGGAAAGGAGACATGAAACATGAAAAAAAGTTCCCTAAACTTAGATACTGTATACTTCAGCTAGGCAGTGGCAATTCTCACAGAGTAAATACACAGACAAGAAAGAAAGCCAAAAGCCTAAATCCATCACAAACAGACTCTGAATTTTAAACCTCTTGGGTGATACTTGGAAAGATTCAGTACCACACCTGCCTACCACTCCAATATGAAGAATGGAGTGAAGACCAAAGACTCGATACTATCAATATATGGTATTTTTCCACACTGGCTCTATAAAATACTGAAATGTAGGTTTCCTATTTCATTTGGTACTGAAATACAACAGGTGTTTAATATACTTAAGCTAATGAATATGTAGCAAAAGATTAGTTCAATTAATAAAAAGAATGAAGTGGGTATAGCATATAATCTTTTTACATAATACAAGAGTCGCAAAAACTAGAACAAACAGTAAAGTCATCTAAAAGAATTAACATTGATTAAGTCTTTAATTAAATTGTTTCTCATTGCAATCCTACTATAACCAAAAGAACCCAGAGATAAGGAGGAATGAAATTTAGCTGGTTTTCTCACTTCTTACTTAAAGCTGAATTCTGAATTACCCAGAAAAATGATATCCCCATTAACACTATTTAGTTTATCATAAATGTCATGCCCCAAGTAAATATAAAGACTCTTAAGGTTTAAAGACATCTTAAAGGAATTATCATATCCATAAGCCTATTTTTACGTCGAAAAGAATGTCACTTGGACAACATGAGACTCCATCCTGCCTTCAAAGACCACAGGAAGAGAGGACAAGTGTCAACCCCATCAGGGCATTCTTTTAAATCTAATAAATACTATAATCCTACAGTAAACACTATTCCTTTCCTTCCTAGCCCAAGGGTTGAAAGAGAAGTTCTTACCACCTCTGTCTGCACAGGAACCACCTAAAGCAGCTCACAGTCTACACGACCTGTGCAATATCCTAGACCTTGCAACACTTTTTAGTATAAGTGCCAATCACATTAACTAGGGCTGTGAAAAAGGAAGATCCATAGTTAAGTAAAAATTAGTCTATTAGACTAAACTTTATCAACACAGGAATGATAAATGCCTTCACTTTTCCTTGTAAGCAATTTGAAACACGTGCACATGCACACAGTTATTTTAATTTGATCATTACATTATATACCAGGGGTTCCAACTCCAGCACCCACAGGGCTAGCCAGGAGGTAAGCAAATATACTGGTAAATCATGATAATGTGGGGATCATCTGTCCCATCTAGGCCAGGTCCTCATCCCAACATGTTATTGTCAAAAAGAGATGCACAATTATTTTTCAAGTACAGATAAAAATTTTTGTATAAAAAAATTTTGTATAAATCTCTCAACTTTTAATTTGTATCAAATTTATAAAATGGTGTTTTAGTCAACTAAAACATATCTTTGACCTGGATTTGGCCCTTAAATGCCAACTTACCATCTCTGCCTCTATCATTTCTACATTTTCCTATTTCCAAAGGGATATTTAAAATGCTTTGGCCTCATTTTAAATACTAAAATTGGGTCATGAAAATAAAATTCACGCAAAAATGTATTTCAACAACCACATTAAAAACCAGATTACCTTTATTTTATGTTCACTTCTGACTCTCTTTCAAAATTCTCTTCATATTCTTCAACTGTCCCCCTTTAAATCATAAAATCAACATTTTTCCTCCCTATGTTTCTATTTTAAGAACATACACTTTCTTGTTAATTTGCTAGTTTTAATAGTAAGTTGTTTTGTTTTAATGTTATGACTATGATTGATTTTATTTATCTGAAGGTAACAGATTTCACTGTTTTTGAGGCACATTGTTTTTATTAGACTAATTGGATTCATCACATTAAACACCAGGATTCCAATGGCACCTAGATGATATAGGGTGCCTTCACCTTCAAACCGCCATTAGTAAAAGAGGGGTGTCAAAGACATGGACGGAAGCAAGGCTTAGACCACCTTCAACCAGGAGAGGTGAACCAGCTGTCAGTAACAGACTCTGTCAGTAACAGTCTCTGAAGACATCCACTGTAATCCCAACCTCAGAGCTGGACAACAAAAGCTTTGAAACGATGTCTCCAATAATGAGAGGTAATACAGCAAACTGTCCACACAGAGGTTCAACACTCTAGAGAGGAGAAGGAAACAATAAAATTGAACACAATTAACACATTACTTACTTGTTGTTCTTTGTTTCTTTAAGAGCACCCCCTCTCAAATTGCAAAGACAACACTCCTAGGAGAAAACAAAAAAACACACAATTATCAGACTCATTTAACAGACATCATTACTATTTAACTAAATATTATCTAAATATCCCCATAAATTCCAATTTTTTATTTTAAAATTAAAGCCATCAGGAACTTCATAAAGGTCTATCTCTGAGCAGTTCAAGAAAGGAAAAGAAAAAGAAGGGAGGGAAAGTGAGAGTACGCACAAAAATATTCTTGATATACATATATCCTAGAGGGAATCATCATTACCCTGGTATCATGTTCACTTGCCATCTCCAGGGGAGAGATATGACACAGAGCACTTGGTAGCCTGGAGAGTATTTACTAGAATTCTAGAACAGAGATACATATATGACTGAATTCTCTTGTGCTCTGGGAAACCATTCGTGTATACAGAATAGCTACAAAATAGAGTATTGGTGGGGTTCATTCTGCAATTAACGACTGGCAGGAACCTCTTTTTGAAAGATATTCTTTTTTTTTTTAATAAAGATTTTATTTATTTATTTGACAGAGAGAGAGAGAGAGATCACAAGTAGGCAGAGAGGCAGGCAGAGAGAGGTAGGGGTCGGGGAAACAGGCTCCCTGATGAGCAGAGAGCCCAATGTGGGGCTCGATCCCAGGACCCTGGGATCATGACCTGAGCTGAAGGCAGAGGCTTAACCCACTGAGCCACCCAGGTTCCCCTTGAAAGATATTCTTGTCATAAAAATATCATTTAGGCCTTTCTGTCGGTGGGCAAACGGTGTTGGAAAAACTATACTGATAAACCCAGGCTATCCACCTCCAGAAAAAGGTACCATGAAATGTTTTCCTTTTTTTTTCTCCCCACATAAGTTTATATTTTGGGCATTTCTGTGTATGTCTTAGATTGGCACAGACTGTTGCACTCCAAGATGACTGACTCACTTTACCACAAATACAGAATTTAATTATCATTTCTCACTACAATTCTATGAAAAGTCCATCAAAAAACAAGACCAGAAAGCAATGCAATGCCTTTTGCTGACCTAGAATTTTTAAATTAAATACCTATATTTTTTTTATTTTCAACCTTACTTTTATTTTCAATGTTAATAGAAGTCCAATTTATTACATTAATAATTTTTTTAAGTAACTATACGTTATTTTGGGGGTTTTTTCCCCCTCTCCAAGCAATACATATAAAATTTCTTTATCTGCTCTCCAAGGTGATCTTCTTTAACTAAAGTTTTGCCTAACTTTATGAAGAATCCCTTTAATTTATCTACTATTAATAATGGAGTGTCAAACTCTATAGCTTTAATTTTTCTGAGGAGAGCAATACCAAAACAACTGAGGAGAATAAATATACCAGCATAACTCCTAACAGGCAGCAAAAAAATCCAAACAACCAGAAATGTTCAATGGTTTTATGTGTCTGGAAACTCTGCACATTTATTTGAAATTTCCTGGGTTATTATTAAAAGTTAGAGTAGCAAAAGCTGCCCTGTGTTTGTATATACATCTGAATCCATTATAAGCCCAGCTCATGGAGATAACTTGATGGATTTTCTCCGTAACAAAGCCAGATTCTAGAGCCCCTTGACATAATAGTTTTGATGAAGCACACAATGAGAGTCTAAGTTCAGTCCAAATATTAAAAATGAGAAATTCAGTAATTCAAGTTATTCAATAATATCCAAATTATTTAAGAACAATTTCACAAAACATGACTGATTTTAAGAGTTTTCTATGGGGCACCTGGGTGGCTCAGTGGGTTAAAGCCTCTGCCTTCGGCTCGGGTCATGATCCCAGAGTCCTGGGATCGAGCCCCGCATCGGGCTCTCTGCTTAGCAGGGAACCTGCTTCTTCCTCTCTCTCTCTGCCTGCTTCTCTGTCTACTTGTGATCTCTGTCTGTCAAATAAATAAATAAAATCTTTAAAAAAAAAAGAGTTTTCCAGTAGTTTATCATAATTTCTGCAGAGAGAGAGAAAGTGAAAATAAAACATGAGGTAAAGTATTTTCATTGACTATAAAAGGATGTCAGTATCGAAGTGAGAATGCAGCAAAGGAGAGCCATGGATGGTGAGGAGCTCAGACACTAAGAGCATTAGATGCCTGATTAATGAAACTAGGAGTGAGAAGAAGCCTAAAGGGACAAGCTAGCAGAGTTAAATACAGCAAAGCAGCATGGAAGCGGCTTGAAAGCACCTGAGGAGGATCATTAAAAGGTACATGTGCTGCACAGCACCATCACAATGGGAGGAGACAAACCTCTCAAATAGAATACACAGACTCAAGATTTTAAGGGAGGTTGAGAAGATTCCACTTGCCATAATATGAAACTGCTTTTTTTCTGGGATTACCAGTGACCTCCATGTCACAGAAGCTAATGGATAATTCCAAGTCTTTGGTTCACCTGACCTATAAGTGGCATTCAGCATTGTTGATCATGCCTGACAGTTTCCACCTGTGGCTTCTATAACCCGTCATGCCCCTCACTGTCCTCCACCTCTTTTTGATCCTCTGCTTGTTTTAACAGGTATCTCTTTCTTATCCACACCTGCTTGTGGGACATTTGACCCTCAAAAGGCCAGTGAGTGACTCAAACATTAATTTCCTAATATGTCTGACTGACATTCAATAGGCATCTCTAACACACATGCAAAAATGAACCATGTCTCCTTCTCAAGCCTGTACTTCCCCACTGTTTCCTATCAGTATTATCAAGCATCCTTTCTAGCTCATGCTGGGAGATAAAATTTCCCTGTCATACTAGATCCAATTAATTGAGTACAATCCCATGTCCAAATCTGCCTTCTTCTCTCCATCATCAATGCTGCCACATTAGTGGATAGCCCCAGCATCCTTCAGCAGACCTAAACTACTACAACAGCCACCCTAGGTCAACCTAGAAGACACCTGCATGGGTTTTAATGCTTCTCAGTACTTAATGTGGTCCCAAAAGGCCAAGATCATTAGGCCTGGACCTTGTCCAGATTCACACTATACTATTCTCCATGCATAGACACCCTGTGCCCCCAGATACATCGGACATACCCTACACCATTCGTTAATTATTATACTGAACATATCCTTGACATCTCAGCCTAAATGCTGACTTATCAGAGAAGGCTTTCCTAATCCCCTGGCCCAGTTACTTCTCATTCATTACTCTTCTTAACTGTTTGTGGAATTCTTTTTGCTGTCCTGAATAAACTGTAAGCTTGATGAGTGCTATGGAAATACTTGTCAAGTTACTCTTTCTCTACTGTGATACCCAAGAGAGAATACATCCTCCACATGAATTTGTTACATAAATGAGAAAATGGTAAAACAGGGCAAAGTGAAAATCTTGAAAACTACCAAAGGATTAAAAAATTGCAAAGATCATTTTCACATACTGGGACACTAAGGAAAGGAAGTTGCCGACTCTGGTGACTTAACAGGGAGTTAAAAAAACAATGATTTGTGGGGCACCCAGGTGGCTCAGTGGATTAAGCCTCTGCCTTCAGCCCAGGTCATGATCTCAGGGTCCTGGGATCGAGCCCCACATCGGGCTCTCTGCTCAGCGGGGAGCCTGCTTCCCCCCTCTCGTTCTCTCTGCCTACTTGTGATCTCTGTCTGTCAAATAAATAAAAATTAAAAAAAAAAACAACAACAATGATTTGACATGGAGCTATTTTTGCCATAATTTACTTGAAAAATCATACTTCCTAGTAAAAGACAAAAAATATTCATGACCAAGCAGTTACTTATATGATTTACATGATATATATGATATCATGGTTTCTGTTCAATTCACTCAATTTTGAAAAAGTGGGAAAGAAAAAAGTCATGTCCAGTTATGTCACTGTTTTGAGTCACCATCCCTCCTCTCATGGGTTGATCTGTCACAAGCACAAACACGTCAGCCTGTCAATTCATTCATTTGTAAATGAACTTGCACTAAATGCCTATGCTTATAACCAACCCAATAAAAGCAATTATTACATGGGAAACTTTTTAACATTTCTTTCCTTTCTTAAATAGTGCCTTATTGTCAGGCAACAGAATTGATAATTCTAAAATTTAAAAGGTTAATCCTTACCTGAAAAGTACCCCAACTTTTCTTAAGAATCCATATAATGCATGATATACATAAAGGTTGATACCTACCAAATACACTAATTGTACTAGTATTGGTCATCTTCTAATTCACTGAAAAAATTGAACAAGAATATAAGGGTGATAGAGCCCCTTCAGGACACTGATTTATTAAATTGGTTATCAATAATAAATATTTTCTCTTAGAAGAATAAAAGCCATATTAAAGGCCTAATTCATTCTGGATACCCTGCCAGAAGCATCATATAATTTATCTGCCTTCCTTAACATGAACTTATTAGTTAATTTATATTCTACTTCACTTATGAGGAAACGAAGATTGAGATTAAGAGATTAAGTAACTTTTCTAAAATCATCCAATCCCGGAGCTATCAAGCTTCATCTGTAAATGGCCAGATATTTACTAGTTTAGGCTTTGCACTACACAGTTGTTGCAACTAAACTCTGACATTGTAGGACGACACGTAAATGAATAGGTATAGCTATATTCCAATAACATTATTCACAAAAACAGGCAGTGAACAGGATTTGGCCCACAGGCTATAGTTTTCCAACCCTTAACCTACCAACAAAAGTAGTAATTGCAGTTCAAGTACAGGTCTGCCTGAGCACAAGTCCATGCTCCTTTTCACCAGCATCTTCTATCTCAGTACAAAGCAAGGCACAAGATTTCAAAATAGAATGCCCAAATAAACAGGAAACAGTGCCTTCTCTGGGAAGCTCACAATTTAGGAGGTGAGAAGACCTGTGTGTACTTAACCATACTATGAAGAATATAACGATAAAGGGTATAACCAAGACCCCATTTCCTCATTTCTATAAATGACTAAGAATTCATTTTTTTAAAAGATTTTATTTATTTATTTGACAGACAGAGATCACAAGTAGGCAGAGAGAGACGGAGAAGCAGGCTCCCTGCTGAGCAGAGAGCC